AGCAGATGCCGACTCCGGACCGACGCGTTTGTTTGCGCTCCTCTGCCGGCATCCTGCGCTACGCGGTCACAGGCGCACACCTCATGGAAACAAGTCCGATAAAACGTGTAGGTGATAAAAACAAATACCTACAAATTAGTGCACCCGGGAAACCCCAGCGCGGGCAGCGGGGAGGCGGTCTCACTAATTTCTGGAACAGGTGAGGCTCGGGCATCTCCCGGGTTAGGTGGTGGTGGAGGGGCTCTGGGGGCAGGCACAGGGCGTAGCTGGCTAATGGGGTGCTCCTCTTACCTCTAAAATAGGCATGTATTTGTCGGGATGCCCTTGTCATGAGATGACTTAAGGTGCTTAAACACCCCTCAAAGTTATGATTCTGTCTATCTCTGAGAACTATATTTTTCTTTCAGTTCCTTTTAATAGTTTACTTGAAACATTTATATTGTCTTGCTGGGTTTGCTTGTAGCTCTCTCTCTCTCTCTCTCTCTCTCTCTCTATATATATATATATATATGTATGTATGTATATAGTAGATGCTCAATATATATTTAAAATATTGAGAGAGGGGGTCAATGGAAAAAAAGGGGGGACATCTGTAATACTTTCAACAATAAAGATAAATAAATGAATAAAGAGAGAGTGCCGGGGTATGTGAAGGAAATGTTCAGGGTGCTGGCGCGGAGGGTAAAGGGAATGCTTTGGTGGTTTTTACCTGCCTACAATGCACCTCCCTTCTTCAGGTAACAATACCCCACTTATTCCTTGGAGGAGCCACCCCTTCCCCACCTTCCTTCCTTCCGAATCCCATCTCGAAGCTGGGGAGGGGGTGGCCTGAGACCCACACCTGGCCAATCACAGACGTGCACGTCAAGCAACAGGGCCAAGCAGACACAGTCCAGGGGTCCAGGCATGTATTTGTCGGGATGCCCTTGTCATGAGATGACTTAAGGTGCTTAAACACCCCTCAAAGTTATGATTTCTGTCTATCTCTGAGAACTATATTTTTCTTTCAGTTCCTTTTAATAGTTTACTTGAAACATTTATATTGTCTTGCTGGGTTTGCTTGTAGCTCTCTCTCTCTCTCTCTCTCTCTCTCTCTCTATATATATATATATATGTATGTATGTATATAGTAGATGCTCAATATATATTTAAAATATTGAGAGAGGGGGTCAATGGAAAAAAAGGGGGGACATCTGTAATACTTTCAACAATAAAGATAAATAAATGAATAAAGAGAGAGTGCCGGGGTATGTGAAGGAAATGTTCAGGGTGCTGGCGCGGAGGGTAAAGGGAATGCTTTGGTGGTTTTTACCTGCCTACAATGCACCTCCCTTCTTCAGGTAACAATACCCCACTTATTCCTTGGAGGAGCCACCCCTTCCATATATGTATGTATATAGTAGATGCTCCACAGAACGCAGAGCTGACACCTGAAGCAAAGTCTGTGTCTGAGGTTTGATCCCTCAGTGGCTCTCTTACATGAGGCAACAAATTCCCTTTACACTAGAGCCAGTTTGAGCTGGATTTTCTCTTTCTCCCAACAAGAACAATGTGTTGATGATCCAAAGCACCAAGACAGCCTCTCCGAGGAGAGGACACTTACTAGGAAGCAGAGACCTGAAGGTGGAGAGTGGCTGGGTCGCATGAAGAGGCAAAGGGAAAGCCCAGGAAAGGAAAGTGTGTGGCAGGTGTGAGGAGCTGCAGGAAGGCCCGATGGTGGTGTCCGGGGGAGAGAGGAGCCGAGTAGATGCAGCTGGACCGAGGTCCCTGATGGAGGGCCTCACAGGCTTTTTAAGAATCTGGGACTTCATCCCAAGAGCAATGGGAAGTCAGTGCAGGGTTTTAAACAGGGATCGACTGAATCTGCATTTGGACATTCTTTGCATTTTAATAAGAACATGGGTGATAGTGTGGGGACTAGATTGGCAAGAGGTAGGAGTAGCGCAGGGGATTACCTAGAAAATTATTGCAGACCTCTGGGTTAGAGACGATCATGATTTAGACCAGAGGTTCTCAACCTTCCTAATGCCGCGACCCTTTAATACAGTTCCTCATGTTGTGGTGACCCCCAATTTCATTGTTACAAATTGAACATAACTAAAGCATAGTGATCAATCAAAAAACAATATGTAATTATATATGTTTTTTCCGATGGTCTTAGGCAACCCCTGTGAAAGGGTCGTTTGACCCCCAAAGGGGTCGCGACCCACAGGTTGAGAACCGCTGATTTAGACAGAGTGGGCACAGTGGATGTGTAGAGGTTGGGTTTGTGGCAGCTGGTTTCCAATGATGTCCCCTGTAGACCATGACTCCCAATACTCACGCCTTGTGTGGTCCCATCCACACTGAATCTGGGACCGCTCTGTGGGACTTTAACCAATGGAATGCAGAGGAACTGGCGCTGTGCCTTCCAAAGGCAGGAGATCGAGTGTCCCTGCTATTGAGGACTCTGCTGTGTGGCCGGAAGCCTTGGAGATGGAGGCAAACACTCTTTGGCTCCTTCTAGAGTGGATTCCAGTCACCCTGGCTCTGACTTATCACCCAACCACAGTCTCTGTGTCTCTGATTGGTCAGTTACCTGGTGGTACATGGATGTCCTATGGTTCAATCAGCAGTGGGGGAGAGGGGAGGAGAGGGAAGGGAAGGGAGAGCTGGAGGTACAGACATGGCTGCCTGGCTCCACTTTCCCTTGAGATGAGCGAGCAGTTTTCAAGAGGAGAACGTGACTACAGCAATTTCAAAAGAGGCTCAGCTTGGGACAGGCTTGCATGACTCAGTGCTCAGCACATTGGCCTCTGCCCCTGTGCAATCCCTCAGGGAATGGAATAGAATTCCACCACCCACCTCCTCACAACATGCTGACCCTGTTCCTGGACCTCTGACCCTGGCTGGGTGTTCCTCAGCTCAGGTTCCCAAACCTCCTTGTGGGGCTGCTTCTCCCACCTTCCTCAGCTGTATCCCTGACCCTTTGCTGGACTTTCTCCTCTGACCCCCTGGCTCAGGGTAATAATACCAAGAGCGACCACTTAGAATGCATTTACTAATGTATGAGCCAAGCACCCGGCAAGAGCTCATGGACTCCTAGAACCAGTTCTAGAAAGTGGGCACTCTCTTTTCATGCCCATTGTACAGATGCATAAGATACAGCTGAGGAAGGTGGGAGAAGCAGCCCCACAAGGAGGTTTGGGAACCTGAGCTGAGGAACACCCAGCCAGGGTCAGAGGTCCAGGAACAGGGTCAGCATGTTGTGAGGAGGTGGGTGGTGGAATTCTATTCCATTCCCTGAGGGATTGCACAGGGGCAGAGGCCAATGTGCTGAGCACTGAGTCATGCAAGCCTGTCCCAAGCTGAGCCTCTTTTGAAATTGCTGTAGTCACGTTCTCCTCTTGAAAAATGCTCGCTTATCAGGTTCACACAAGATAAGTAACTTTTCCAAGGTCACACAGCCAGTGAGAGTTGCCCCAGGAGGTGAATTGAAGTTTATGTACCCCTGGAGTCTGTTCCCTTATTATCTAGGGACACACAGCCCTCCAGCCCAGGTTGGTGTTTGCCTCACCCTACCTCTCACCTGAGCGGGGTTGGGGTGAGAGCCCAATGCTTTCTTTCAAGGGTACACAGCTTTGACCGCTGTCTGCTGTGCTTCAAGTTCATTCAGGCCAGGGGTTTTCACAGTGTGGTTCCTGGGCCAGCAGCATCAGCATCACCTGGGAATTTGTCAGAAATGCATACTCTAAGGCAAGCATGTCAAACTCTCGGCCCGCAGGCCTCATTTATTTGGCCCGTGTTAGCCTTTGAGTTTGACATGATTGCTATAAGGCTTACTGACTCAGAAACTCTGGGGTGGGGCCCAGAAACCTGTTTTAGCAAGCCTTCCAGGTGGTTCTGAAGCCCACCCATCTGAGCACCATTGATCAATTCCTTTCCTTTCCACTCTCAGGTGGCTCTGGAGACAGCAGCTGGAGAAAGTGAGGCTTTTCAGCTGAGTATTTGGGGGGTTTTTTTGGTGGTGATGGTTGTATTCTCATCACTTTTGTCAGAAATGACTCAGGTCTGGCTTGAGAGAAGGTGTGTGGATTCCTTAATTGTTGCACACTATTATTTTTTCACATTTGCATTCAGCCTAAAAGAGAGTGAAAAGAAACATAAAGAAATTCAAACTACCCAATTCAGCAACTTAGCATTTTGTTGGTCTAGGGAGGGGTGTGACTGTAACCCCATAGTCAGTCAACACACTGAATTTAGAAAGAGGCCCAGCTCGGTACCAGGTCCTGAGCTGGGTTCTGAGGCACAGACCAGGCCTCTGTCCTGCCTGCCTCTGTGTCAGGGGACAGATGCTTTACTAATAACTAGGATTTGGGGTTCCAAGAGTTGGGGTCCAGGATCTGCTCTAACATGATCCTGGCCTGTACCATTTCAAATTCCTCACCAGTGCACAGCCCCAAGCCAGAGCCCTGGCCCTGTCATTTGCCAGCTGTGTGATCTTGGGCAAGTACTTGGCATCTCTGGGCCTCAGATTCCTGAATTGTGAAATGAGAGTAATAATTCCCACCTTGCAGGCTTGTTGTGAAGATGGAGGAAATGCATGTAGCATAGAGGTGCCATTTACTAGCTGTGTGACCTTGAACAGGTTAGTTAGCCTCTCTAGCTTGTTTTCTCTCTTGTAATATTAATAGCACAAACTTCAAAGGATTGTTGTGAGATTCAAGGTCATATAAATTTTACAAGGTTGCATGATAGCAATTACTCTGGTAATGTAAGCTATTATTAATGTTAAATACATAATACAGTTTCTGGAGTATAGTAGATGCTCAACAAACGGTGGCTGTTGTTATTATTAGTTTCCATCCTTCACTTAAAGACAGCTCTGACTTTACAATGCCTAAGGCTGCTTGCAGCTTCTGGCTGCGGTTTCTTCAGGGTCTCCATCTCACTGATGCCTCCAGGGAGTGGGCAGTGCTGACTTCGGGTTGATGCTCTTTCTACCAGTTCATCTGTGATCTCATTCTGAGTTCCAGACCCCCTCAGGTCTCCTGCTGTTTGCTGTTGGCCTGATTGCAGCATGCTTTGTTCTGGCTTTATGCTCCATTCTCAGGGCCCATTTCACAGGCATAAAGTTTCAGACCAGAGTTAAGTTCAAGCTCTATTGCTCACACTAACAGTGTAATCTTGGACAAAGGATTTAACACCAATTTTCTCATCTGTGAAATGGGGTCAATAATGCCCATCTTGCTGGGTTGTATAAAGATTAAATAGCCTTGGTTGGTTTGCTAAGTGGCTAGAGTGTCAGCCCTCGGACCAAAGGGTTGCAGGTTTGATTCCTGGTCAAAGGCACATACCTAGGTTGCAGGTTTGATCCCTGACCCCTGTTGGGGCCCCTGTGGGAGGCAACTAATCAATGTATGTCTCTCTCACATTGATGTTTCTCTCTCTCTCTCTCTCTCCCTCCCTCCAACTCTCTCTAAAAATCAATGGAAAAAATATCCTTGGGTGGGGATTAACAACACAAACAAAGATTAAATACAACCATGTATTTGTAAACATTCATCATGGTAACTGTCACACAATAGGTGCTTAATAAATGCTTATTTACTTCTCTGTTCACCTCTCCCTATGGAGTAAATCCCATAATCATTCTAACTGGTATGTGATCAGTAAAAGGGGAAATAACCTTTCCTACTTGTGGCAGAGACTGCCAGTCTTCACACAATATCCAGTCTCCCTTTCTTCTTTAGTATTTTGACTTTATTGGGTGTGGGAGGAAGTAACAACATACCGAACTACTGACTATATCTTCCCGCCTCCCTTGCAGCTAGGTGGCACCATGTATCTTTTTTGGCCAATTATATGAACGGAAGTGTTGGTGGTTGTAATTGTTGAATTGTGCTCTCCCCCCCGACTCCCCCCAAAAAACAGATATGTTAAAATTCTAACCCAAATACCACAGCATGTGACCTTATTTGAAAACAGGGTCTTTACACAATCAATTTAAAATGAGGTCATTTGGGTGAGTCATAATTCAGAATGACTGGAGTACTTATTAAACAGGGAAATTTGAGCACAGAGACAGACATGTACAGAGGGAAGATGATGTGAAGACACAATGGGAGAAGATAGTCGTGTGACTGGAGTGATAAGCCTACAGGCCTAGGAATGCCAAGGATCTCCAAGGATTGCCAGCAAACACCAGAAGCTAGAAGCGGCAAGGACTCTCCCCTAGAACCACCAGAGAGAGCATGGCACTGCCAACACCTTGAGCGTGGACTTCTAGCTCCCACAACTGTGAGACAATAAATATCTATTTTAAGCCACCCAGATTTTGGTACTTTTTCACAGGAGTCCTAGGAAATTAACACAGGTGGAATTTGAAGGTGGCTGCTTAACGGGAGGCTTCCTGATGCTTGGAATGTGCAGGGTTGGTGTTTATAATATTTAACAACCTGTGTATGGAGATGGGCACTGATCAATCAAAAAGGACATGGACCAAGAACAAGTTGTGTGGTCACACACATTCACATATGGTTAGATCAGTGGTTGGCAAACTGCGGCCCCTTGAGTGTGGCTCTTTCACAAAATACCACATGTGGGCGCGCACGTACAGTGCGATTGAAACTTCGTGGCCACACTCAAGGGGCCAAAGAGCCATATGCAGCTTGCGAGCTGCAGTTAGCCCTGGGAATGTGGCTGGAGCTCCAACAGCCATTTTGTACCACGAAGCTAGAAGCTAGTAGCTGGGGATGGCAGACTTGGACTGCATACCTCCAATATTATCGACTACATACTTGGTAGAATAAACCTATGTTTGTTTATGGCTCTGTTATTTGGGGATTTTCTATTTTCCTCAGCCAAACCTAAATTTAACTCACATCCAATCCCATGAAGTATTGGGAATCCTGAATGAAATGATCAACAGGAAAGTATTTTTGCAAATTCTCCAGCTCTAGGCAGACATAAGACATCTTTCTTATTGCAGTCTTTGTGATGATGATTATGATTGGTTTAGGAAAAATAGATTGAAATTGACTGACATGATCCTGGCCAGAGATCAGAGTTTTTTTTTGTCCTGCTTTAGCAACATTTTATATACAAAAACTCAGGGATACTTTCTAAAAAATATATCTTTATTGATTTCAGAGAGGAAGGGAGAGGGAGAGATAGGAAAATCAATGATGAGAATCATTGATTGGCCACCTCCTGCAACCCCCAACCGGATATCGGATATCGAGCCTGCAACCTGGGCATGTGCCCTTGACCAGAATTGAACCCGGGACCTTTCAGTCCACAGGCCAATGCTCTATCCATTGAGCCAAACCGGCTAGGGCAACAACATATTCCTGAGGGCTCTGCACAGCATCCATGGATAACAGTGGCATGAGAGACTGGCAGGAGAGGGGCTGCCAACTTTGGGGCTGGATGCCAGCAGGATGACTGGGTGATTTTTGTTGAGCTGCAGCCGGAATGCTCAGCCGCTGGTTGGCAGTTAATCATAAAGGGTAAGAGTCAGGACAGATAGCTGTGAATCCGGGCTCCACCCTTACTTGCTATGTGACCCTTGGCAAATTACTGAACTTCTCTGAGTCTCAGATTTTTCATTTGTAAAATGGGAACAATTATAGCCCCTGTGACATAGGGTTGCCATGGAGATTTAGTGATATAAATACCCAGTAGGGAAAAAGATACATCCAGTTTATTTGTATCCTGTCCACTAGCCCTTGACAGATAATATATGAACAGACTGGATTCTGATTTGTTCCATCTTACCTTCATTGATTCATTCATTCAGTAAGCACAGTGAATGTGCCTACTCTGTACCAGGGGATGAAAAGAGTTAGTGAGATAGATTTAGACCATGGTAGCCAAATACAGCCAGCTCAAAAGTGGTTTAAAAAAAATAGAGCCGCCCTAGCTGGCTTGGCTCAGTGGATAAAGCATTGGCCTGCGGACTGAAGGGTCTCAGGTTCGATTCTGGTCAAGGGCACATGCCTGGGTTGTGGGCTCAATCCCCAGTAGGGGGCATGCAGGAGGCAGCCGATCAATGATTCTCTCTCATCATTGATGTTTCTCTCTCTCCTTCTCCCTTCCTCTCTGAAATCAATAAAAATATATTTAAAAAAATAGAGCCAAAGTTTGTTTGGGCTCCCCTCCCCTCCTCTCATCTTTTCTTGAGGGCTCCCTTCAGGGTTTCATTCATGGCTGTCCTGGTCTACCTCCTCACAGTCAGTAGATGCTTGTTCTCAGGAGGACCTCAGTCACTAATTCATACTATAGTGGAAATGACTATGAATCTCTCAAAGAAGGGGCTTGCAACTGACCCCTCCTGTAAAGTGACTGCCTCCTGAAAGGCCGTTCTTATGCATAGAAAGAAAAAGGTTCCAAGTAGAAGGGCACAGAGGAATCATTCAGTCTGAACCCAAGCCAGGCAGAAGTGACTGTCTAAGCAGAATGACCCCAACCAAGTACACCCAGCAGTCCTGTGGCCAGGCTGGTGGGAAGTAGAAAATGGCTCCCCGGACGCCATGGTCACTGCTCTACACCATCTGTGCATGCTCTGATTAGGTTTTTCAGGTTGCCCCTGGCAGGTACTGAGGCAGGACTAGAAGTGCCTCTGCCGTTCAAGAAGCCTGAAGCCTGACAGGGGACATGAGCACATATGAGCTCTTTGTCCACCCTGATTTGAAATGCTGTCTTCACTGTGTACTGCATCCTCCAATGTGCACCAGGCTATTCTAGACTCTGTTTGGTGCTACTGCCGTCTCGTCCTGCACCACCACCATGCTATTTCAAAGACTATCACTTTAAAAATATGTTTTTATCCGGTACAGGGAGGCCTCTTTCTTCTTTTTCAAGAATGTCTTAGTTGTTCTCATATCATTACTGTTCCAGATGAACTTCTAAATTAGCTTTTGAGTAACAGATATTGAATCCTCTTCAGCACTTTTATTTATGCCAGGCACTGGGCACTCGAAGGAGCCAGGCCCGCGGTTCCTGCCCTTGAGAGCTCACACACTCCATGAGAAGTGTAACCGAACAAGAGGTGTAAAACGACGTCAGGAATCTCATCCTGTGGGTAACCAGAGCCAAAGGCCTGAGGAGTCCCCACAGATATGTGTTATGAATTCCATTGTCCCTCCACGCTAGGGAAGTCCGAGGAGGCTCAACAGGGGAGTGGCATACTGGACTTAGACGGATGAGGAGGAGTTTTTCAGGGATAGAAGAGGAGAAATGCTTTGAGTGGGGAAGTCAGAGAACGCTTACCTTAGGAGGCACATTTCCTATGAGAGTGGCTAGGCGTTTGCCGGATTCAGAGGATGAAATGAGGAAGGGATGGCCCTAAGCTGAGAACATCACAAGAAGGCTCTCTGAAGATACTTCGGCTGGGTTCGAGTTGGAGGTGTCAGAGAAGATGCTGGAAGAGGTAATTAAATAAAAACGGTTTTTATTAGAAAAGTAATACAAGATGACCTTTTACCTGGACTGCGAGGGAGGAGCCAGACAGGGCAGAGGAGGTAGTCACAGAAAAGTCTTCCCAGGAGCAAATAGGAAATTTGGCTTCCTGCCCACTCTCTAAGATCCACGACCAGGAACTAAGAGTCCCACCGCGTCGACGCCGGGAATTCTGAGATGGTGACGCTGCGGTTCCGATTTCCAGGGGTCGGGTAGCCGTGGGCAAGGGATCGGCCGCGAGGACAGAGGCTCAGATTTGCGGACCCTCTGGCAGAGCTGAATGCTTTATGTCAGAATTGACCAATGGGATGACGGCACGCGGTTGCCAGGGCTACCGTGGGGCGGCCGAGCGGAGGCGGGGCCTGAGTG